CACAGAGAACTGCTGCTAATCCCTAGCAGTGCATAAACCAGGTGTGAGAGTGCATGCCTGTAATCACTTGGAAGGTGGAGGCAGGGGCATCAGGAGTTCACAGTCATCCTCAGTACATAGGAAAGTTGAGGCCAGTCTGGTGTGCACATGAAACCCTGTCTTTAAAAAAGAAAAGGGAAAAGAAGAGAGAAGAGAAAAGAGAAAGAAGAGTGAAAGAGAAGGGAGGGAAGGAGAGGGGAGTGGAGGGAGAGGAAGGGAAGGAAGGGGGATGGAGCTGGCAAGACTCATCAAGGCTTCAGGACGAGTCTCAGAATCACTGCCGCTTTCCCGCTCTGTACCCATCTCCCAACCTCAGCTGGGTACACTTATCTCCCTTGTCCTCTTTCTTAATAACCTGTGGTGGGTCCCCATGAACCATGGGACAAAGCCAAGGTCTGGTACCTGTCTTTTTGACTACCACATAGTGGGTCTCGGGATCACTCCCGAAGCCCCCAGTCTCCTCCAGACTCCTCATCTGCCCCTACCTTGTGCATTATACTCATGACTCATTTGTTTCACAGTAATAACATATTTACTTCTCTCAGAAGCTCTTCTAAGAAGTTTGCATGCATGTAGTCCCTGGTTCTCATGCCAACTTGATGTAATAGACAACAGCGTAACCCCATTTTACAGATGAGGAAACTGAGGCAGACAAGCTCCATGCCCTGCCCAGGAGCCATGCTTCCATCCATCACTGTCTGGCACCCTGCATTGTCTCCCCTCTTCTTGCCCTCCTCTGTCCACTCTGCATGAGCCATGCATCTCTCCATTGCCAGAGACCAGCAGGGCCAGGCAAGCAGAGTGGGCTCTCAGTCTAGGCCCCTGAGTAAAAGTCATTTTGAGACATTGCCCCAGCAAAAGTCCAAGCAGAGCAAGGCTTCCTCCCCCACTGTGCAGGGCAGGGGTCCAAGATCCTCCTGCTCAAAAGACAGAGAAAAGGGGACAGGGGATGTCACCTGCCTGTTATCTGTACTGTCAAACTGTCACACCACCTGCCCCTGGGATTATGTCCAGGGACAGAATACTAGCCTCCTCTGAAGCCTTGTCAGCATCCCCAGGCAGTGGCAACACCATCTCAAGATCCTCTAGACGTGGGAAATTCCACACTTAAGGAAAGGAAGCCACCACAGGAGCACACATCCATCTCGGGGAAGTTTCCAGAACAGCCAAATCTACAGAGGCAGAAAGCAGACTGAGGGCTAAGGGAAAATGGGATCTGATCCACAGGGGGCTCTCTTTGAGATGAGTGATGGCCCACCTGACACACTCCAGAATGACCTGAGAAGGGTGCCTCAATGTGGATTTGTCTAGATTGTGGGCATGCTTGTGAGGGATTTGAGTTAACTGAATTTGGAAGACACAGCCTGAATGCAAACAGCACCATTTCATGTACTTGACCATAGACTAAATAAAGGGGAAAGAGAGAGAGAGAGAGAGAGAGAGAGAGAGAGAGAGCAAGCTTTGCTTGCTTCAAATGGGAGAACTGAGGAACCATCTCAGGCAGGGACTTAGGCTCACTATGCCAGTGACAGGGACAGAAGCCCAAGAAAACCAGAGTGTCTGGAGGAGCTCTGCCTGCAGGAAAGCAGGACTGAGGATTAAGATGAGCCACCATTCCGAGATGCAAAGTGGAGTTCGGGATATGGTCTCAAGCTTGCTGTACCTGCGCTGAAGTCGGCAGATGACAACTGGAGGCAAGGACAGCCTGTCCTCCAGCTCAACTGCCTCTTCTCTCCTCCTTCTTTCCCCTCCCTCGGTTCTTCTCCTCCACTCCCTTCCCTTCTTCCCTTCTTCTGTTCATGGCCAACTTGCCTGATGACACCATCACACACACACACACACACACACACACACACACACACACACACACACACACACACACCCCTTCAGTGTGTCGCCGTAGACAACCTCCTTCCAAGCAGGAACCACTGCGTTTTCTGCTGTCACCTCTGCAGCTTGTCCTATGACCACCCCGGACTAGCCTTTCATAGGCAGCTCACATCTGTCCCCTTTCCTCTGGTCCATTAGGAACACTGATCTCAGTCCCCATGCCGCCTATTTCCAGGGATGGCCTGTGGTAGCATACTGGACAAAGGTCTGGAAAAGCACAAGTACAGATGTGCCTCGTTTAAAAGCAAACACTGTGAAAATCTGAATGGTAGAATAAATTCAGGGGAGATTCCCCATCCCCAAAATAGCTGTAAGTGACTGTAATGAGTCTGGCATTCCAAACACACTCAATAAGTACAACTATAACCTTCACTCTTTCCAGAATTTGTGTTCAAAGTATCTCTGGTCTTGAGACAGGCAAAAAACAAGGGGGAAAAACTCCCAGCTTCATCACATTTGGAGTAGGCTAGCAAGGAAAGCGGGAAGTGGTGATTAATGCTAAGAAGTCTGCTCACTGGCTGCTCAGGAGGCAGGCTCAGGTTCCTAGGCTACAGTCATCCCTTCTAGAGGAATTCCTTCCTCAGTCAGCAAAGACAGAGGCGCAACATTACTACCAATTACTCAAGTGAGTCAGTATTTTTTTATTGCTAAGGAAGCATTTCCTCCCTCACAGGAAGTAGAATGGAATATTTCCTGCTCAAAGAGATGCCTTCCAGACCAAACCAAGCCCCACAACTTTCCATGGAAAACCTCAGTGCCTGGAGTTCTAGGGGCAGGGCTTGAGGAGTGCTCCATCCCAAAGCATCAGCCTCAGGACATGCCCACACGCCCACCCACCCACCACCCATCAACCACCCTGTCTCCCCACCCACACGACCCACCACCCATCCCCACCAGCCCCATAGAGACAGGGCTGAGATTCTGCCACAAACTTGTCTTTCCAGCTAAGAGTCCAAAGGAAACCTCAGACCCTACCAGGGCCAGGGTGCTTCCTCTCGACACCTTGGTATGGTAACTGTCTTTTTGTTCCCAAATGAACCCATCTGTTCACAGGAATGGCCAGGTCATGGCAAGCTGCTTTCCCTCAACATCTTCCTGCCCTTCTCCATGAGATACCTATGATTCTTATCCAATTCATGTGAGAGCTAGGGCTCATAAAGCTGAAGGAGACGGAAGTGGGGAGTACAAGCCGTGTCCTCCAGGGCCAACAGCATTTGCACAGCACATGTGCCTCATCAGAATGGCTACATCATTACAGGATGACTTTCAGAGGGTCCACACAACCTACTGCGTGCTGTTCTCCCGGGTGTTACCTGGGATCCCACAGAGCCCATGTTGATTCCCCCTTTCTCCGTGGTACCAGACTCCCCCAGGACCCCACACTGGCCTTTACAGTCCCCTAGGCCAGCCACTCAGCATTGCTTGGAGTCCTGGCCTCCTCTGGACTCTGGGCATATGGACATCGTGAATCCTCTGTTGTCCAACTGACCTCCCTCTTGTCTCCTCCCCTCTCCCTCTCTTCCTCCCCTCCTCCTGGGTACCATTTCCTGAGGGGCTGCCCAGCTTCTTATGTGCTGTTCTCTCTTAGCCTAATCGACTTCATCTCTCCATGGTGTCTGAAAGACATGAGGCTGGTCCACAAGGGAATCTTGGTCTGTGCTCTTTCCCTGCTTCTCCCTCTGACTTTCCAACCTTAGGAAATAACAGGACCAGTCAGAGAGAAAAGGAGGGAAGAATGGAGGGAAGGATAAAGGAAGTGAAGGAAAGAGGAAGGGGCACAAGAGGAAAGAGACTAGAGGAAGGAAGCAAGAAAGGAGAAAAGAGATGGCGCAGGAGAGGGACAGGAAGTGAGGAAAGAGAAGAAGTGAAAGTCGGGAGGAAGGGGAGAGGTAGAGGAGCTGAAGGAGAAAGGAAGAGGAAGCGAGTGAGGAAGAGAGGATGCTTCTGGAAAGAAGAGGCAAAATGTCAACATCCTGGGGTAAGAGCGCCAGTCTTGTCAGTTTATGTTACATTGACTGCCCGCCTCGCCATTCATAATTCACCAATCTGTGAGCTCCCTAAAATCTTCATCTTGGAGAATTTAGGCAGATTGTGGCAGTGGACAATTTTCCAGAAGGCAAGATAAACTAATCCCTGAAAGTATCTATTCAAGGCAAGAGGGTAATCCCCATGGCCTCGATGAAAGGGCCGGGGGGTGGGGTGTCATACCTTTGAAGCGCCCCCCCACACACACACACAAAGCATCTTCTGGTCCCCTCCAGCCCGAGATCCCCATCTGCAGAGGTTCAGCCAGGGGCTGGGGTCAGAGGGAACCAAGGTATGAGGTCAAGTGTGCAAAAACTGGGAAGCAGCTCTATGGGAAATTACAGACTAAGGAGAGAAAGCCGCGGGAGGAGGCCACCTTTGCCCTGGATCTGGTCTGCTCCCTTTGCCCTGGATCCCAGCCCTTTCCCTTTGCCCTGCATGGCCTTGGCCCCCTTTGACTAGGTCAGGGTGTCCCTTGGGACCATGTCCTCAGGACTCCCCTCATCCTCCCAGCACCTCCTCCAAGGCAGGCCTATGTGGCTCTCGGACCGAGGATCACTGGCTCCCCTCAATGGGGTGGGGAGGCTGCTGCCTGGATGAGAAAAGTGTCCAGGCCACAGCAAGGGTGGAGGTGTGTGCAGAAACACAGAATGGGGTGGTTAGATATGCTTCAGGCTCAGGAAGGTCTTAGCCCTGGCCGGAAAGCAGGACCGAGGTGAGGATGGAATTGCATTCCAAGAGAAGGAACAGAATATGCAAAGACCTGGGGGCTTTCAATAGCGACTGGAACTTAATCTTTGGCAGGATGAGGGCTCCAAAGAAAAGAGGTCATCTGAGGCCAGATATTAGAAGCCTTGAGTGCCAAGAGGGGAAGTGTGGCCTCGGTACCAGGCCTGAAACGTTGTAACAGAACTTTAAACAGGGAGAGCTTCGAGCAGAGCCTAAAGGTAGAGAAGGAAAACCCGAGGGGAAGGCAGGAGAGATGAGGCATAGAGCTGAAGTCTGATCTCAAGGAGAGGCGTGGAGGGCGGCCCGGCTGCACTCACCACGGAGCCAGCGCGCGCCCGCGTGCGTGTCCTTGGGGCGGATGAGGCGGCGCTGCACGTAGCTGCGGCCCACGTACCACAGCATCCAGAGCAGCTGCAGGAGCATGAGCGCGGTCAGCACGCACAGCAGGTCGCTCTTGCCCACACCCGCCGCGTGCACCGCCCAGGCCAGCAGGAACAGCAGCCCCGCCACGAACACGTTCAGCCCGTACTGGCTGCTCAGAGTCTCCGCCAGCTTCTGCGGGACACTGGCGCCGCGTCGGGGACCGGAGGCCGGTGGAGACCTCCGGGCCAGGGGGAGCGGAGGCGGCGGGCATGCCGCGATCCCCGACGGCGCGTCCCGGAAGGAACCTGCGGATGCTGCGGGAGAGGAGGGCGCGCCCGGGCTCCCAGGCATCTTCCAGTCTGGTCCCCAGGCAGCTGCTCCAGCCCCGCGCGTTGCTGCTGGCTCCTGTCCTTTCCCCACGCCCTCTGGGCACTAACCCCGCTCGCCCGTGCTCTCCGCTCTTGCCCTCCCCCAGGGCTCCAGGCCCTTGGTCAGGTCCCAGTCGCCGGCCTCCCTCTCGGAGCTCCCGATGCCCACTCCGGTCCCTGCAGCCCGTCGCCCCTGCAGCTGCGCCTCGAGCCCCGCTGCTCCTCTGCCCTGCCTGTGCCACCCGCACCCCACCCCCGCGCCCAGCCCGCCTACCCCACCCCAGCGCCCCGGAAACGCGGGACCGCAACAGGTGCCGCCCGCCAGCTCCGGGGCTGGCGGGGAGGGGTGGGATGCCAAGGGACATACAGAGTCGCGGGAGCCAGATCAAGGAGTTGCTGGGGGTGTGGCTGCGCCGAGGGTTGTGTCCCCGAAACCTAGAATTCTGGGTGGGCTCGCAGGGCACGAGTGTGCATGGGTCCTTCTCATCTGTGTGTCCTGGTCCCTGCCTCTGTCTACTGGGTGCTTTTCGTCTCTCTGCCCTCGACCTACGAGTGTGTTTGGCTCGGTGGGAAGCAGGGAAGAGGCGTCTTTGGGGTTTGTCACTTTTGGGTGTCTGTGTGGGGACCTGTCCGAGAGCCTCGACGCTGGCTGAGACCGGAGCCAGGACCCAAGGAGAGGCCATCCCTTCCTGTCCTCCTCCGGAGCTGCTTTGCTTCCAGGGGGAACTGAGCCGGGAAAAGGGTCCCCAGTGGTCGCATAGAGTCCAGTTGCTTCCATTCCAAAGCCTTTCACAGCCGCTGCCGAGAGGAAGCGCAGCCTGTTTCTGCGAAAGAGCGCCCTAAGGTTGACCCTGACCTGGAGGAGAGCCGGAAGCCCTGCAGAGTGGTCCGAGAGGGCAACGGGGAGCAATTGGGACATCGGACTCTGAGAGTGGAGCGCGGGGCAGGGCACAGGCCGAGACGCCCGCTCCGTCTTGGTTTTAACGCTCTGGTGTAGCTGATTTCAATTTCTTCGTATTTTAACAAGGAAACCCATGTTTTTTGTTTGCAAGGAACTCTGCACACAGACACTGTAACAGCTGGTGATGACTGCTAAGATGGGGGACAGGGGATGAAGCGGGCAGGAAACTTTGGGCCCAGTGAGCCCTGGATCTTGTTTTGCCTTCATTCTTAAATTCCTTCATTTGGTCATTCATCCAATTTATATACAAATAGCCCACATAGATATTTTCTGCGCTCTGTGCCTGACCCTGAGGACTCATTGGGGCCAGGACAGTCCTGGAAGTCAATGGTCAGGTAAGATGCTACGGTATACACTCATTTACTCGGTGCACTGGAAAGCTAACCAGGAACCCTAAGGCAGTCCAGCTCTTCCAGGAGACACAGGCAACCCAGGAAAGCCCCCTAGTAAGAAGGCTGAGAGGTTCCCAGGAGGAGGCAGTGTCTGCAAGAGCTCCATAGCTGGAATGGCTGTTCTTATGAAAGGCAGGAGGCAGGTGGGGAGGGGCTTCCGATGTGTGCAAAGAATGATTGAAATGGCACTAGCCAGATGCCCGCAGGTAAGGGCACTTGCCACCAAGCCAGACAACCGGATTTGGATGCCTGGTCTTACATGGTAGGAGAAGACATTCCTACAAGTTGTCCTCTGACCTCCACAGGTCCACAGTGATATGCACACACATTCAATAAATAAGTAAATAAATAAATGTCATTTTCAAAGCCCACAAATTTCATCCTAGTCCCAAAGCCATGCCACCCCACAGATTCCAAAGAGCCTTTGATTGCTGAGTCTGGGTCTCCGAGAAAATGCCACAAATGCATCATGTCACCCTTCCTGCATGCCTTTCCCAGCATCCTGTGGTGGTGGCTGGTTACTGGCAAGGTCAAAATGAGGTTCTTTTCCTTCTGAAATAATATTCAAAGTATCTATGGGTTCCATGGCTAATGTGGAGCATCCCTGCACACATTCCGTGCAGCTCTGTGGCTAATCCCTGTTCACCTTCCAGGCAGTTTCCTGATCCTCCCACACACGGTGGTAGTATAGGAGTCAAAGTAGGAAATCCACATGGACATACTACTACCAACTGCATAAGAAACCTCACTCACGGGGCTACTTTTTCTGTCATTTTGTTTTCTAGAGACACCTTCCAGTACACACTAAAGGGGCGCTGAGCTAATACATTGATCACTGTGGCTGTGTGTGTGTGTGGGGGGGGGGTGTAACATGTATGTGCATATGTGTGGAGGCCAGAAGACAACCCTGAGTGTCACTCCCAGCACCGTTCCTCTTCCCCACCCCACCCCAACTTGTCACGTAGGCTACGATGAGCAGCCAGTGAGCCTCAGGGATCCACTCACGGCTCCCTTCTCAGTACTGGATTACAAGTGTGTGCCACCATGCTTTTTTTGTTTTGTTTTGTTTTGAGACAGGGTTCTCTGTGTAGCTTTGGTGCCTGTCCTGGATCCTCGCTCTGTAGACCAGGCTGGCCTCAAATTCACAGAGATCCACCTGGCTCTGTCTCCTGAGAGATGGGGTTAAAAGCGTGAGCCACCACCGCCCCACCCTTTCTTTTTTTAATGTAGGTTCTGGGGATTGAGCTTAGGTCTTCATACTTACAGGAAACGCCTTACAGAGTAATCTAAGGCTCCCAGTCCTCCCGTGGCCATGTCTCTTTCATCAGTGTGTGTGAGATCTCATGACAGTGACAAGTAGATGGAGTTGTCACCAACAGCCTGATGGGAGGTCCTGTTATGTCCAGTTCAGGGGAGAAAATCCCTTCTCCCTCTGTGGTAAGAGGGTCCAACACAACCCCACCTCCTCCAGGCGGATCCTTGAAGAAGGTACCCATCTTACTGCTGGGCTCACTGTAGCCTTCCGTGTGTTAGTGCGCTAAACTACTCAACCCAGTGGATGCCTGTTGGTAAGAGTTCTTTTGAGATGCAGATCTTAATACAGCATCCATTCGGAGATCCATCTTCAGCCCTCTTCCCCACGTCTTGGTCTTCAGATAGTCATTGACCATTGAGCCTTCCAGAACCATCCATGGCACTGTGCAGGTTTCCGCTCTGCACAGCTCTTTATTCAGACAAGACACCTGGTCTCCATTCTGCTCATAGGAAGGGGTTTTCTTGACTACTGTCCACCAGGGTTGGCGCTAGGTGGGACTGTGAGGCTGCAGTTGTCCACTTTAGGTTGGTGCCAACTTGTCATGCAGATGCACTAGTAGACATGGCCTGAGCTGCTTCTCCTATCGTGAGATGGTCTCATGTTATTGTAGATGTGGATTAAAGAATCAAGGCCACGAAGCAGGTATCAGTCTGGGAAGGATGTGGATCACCTGCAGGTCAACTTGTTCAATGTCTTATATGCCACATGGGCTTGACAACACACACCACTGTGTATGCCCAACCTCGTAGTTAGATAGATCAGATGATACCCAGCTCATAATGGAAGCTGCAGTCCTGTGGTCACTTAATTCTCCAAAACAGGAGAGAGGTTTGTCTAATGGAAAATAACTTAGCTTTAGACAGCCGTTTTTGACTCTACAACCCTTTTGATCTGTACCGTGATTATCCTGTTTTCCTGCGAGACCATATCTAGGACCATTTGCTAAAGCCACCCCAAGTGTCTTTGGCTTTGTTGGGCTGTAAGATCCAAGTCAGAGCAGTTGTAGTACAGGCTGGTGGACTCCCAGAGTCACCATCCCTCTGCTACCTACTCAGAACTGGGATGCCGATGTGTAGACTCCACCTGCAAGTCAGCTGGTCGTACATGCATTTAAGGATGGTGAAAGCTACACCCCTTCCCTTTGAATCTGGGAAATCCAAGCTGCCCCATGGAGAGGTCAACAAAGAATGAGCCCCGTAGCCAGCACCTACTGTAGCCAACCTCAAGGAAGCATCTAGGAAGGGGCTTGCCCAGTCTCAGCTGAGTTTTGCCCCTGTGAGGCGGAAACAAAGTGTCCCTGCCAACCCTTGCTCACATTTCAGATTCCTGAGCAGGATAAATGGTGGCCGTTGTTTCAAGCCACGTACATTTGGGTGTGGTTTGTTATGCAGCAATAGGTACCCGGAACATACAGACACAAGTGGGACTGGGTCCAAAGATCAGAGGAGACCTGGGAGGCTCTCTCCGGTGACCCCTGCTGACAGGAACACAGGGCCGTGTAAGGAAAGTTCTGATGGTCACACGAGAGATGGAGCATATGTTGTGGGGAGTGAGGGATGCTGGGGCTATTGCATGTTGGACTCAGGTCTGTTCACTCCTGCCAGGGTATGGGCTGGCAAGGACAGAGCTTTTCATATCCTTTGTGATTCCTCTCTGTCACACACATGATGGAATTCATTCCTTACACTTCATGTAATTTATCTTTATTCTGAAGGTTCTGTGGCTCAAGCTCGGGATCTTATTCATGCTGGACAAGCACTCTACCACTGAGATACATACTCAGACCTTTTTTAAAAAATTGAGATGGGATTTCCTATGTAGCCCAGACTGGCCTCAAACTCAAAATCTTCCTGCCTCAGCCTCTCAAGGGGCTGAGGTCACAGGCATTTGTCACCACCCTACACTGTAATTTCTTTCCCAAGGAGGACTAGAGAGATAGAAAGTGGACAGAAAGTTCTTCATGGTTTTGCTGAATCAAAGAAATGGGCCTCACTGGAGAAATGAGAGGAAGTCTAATGTGATGTTTGTGTGTAGGAGGAAAATTGTGTGATATATCTGCATGCCAACAGAAATGATTCAGCCCACTGCATGAGGATTATACTCAAAGTAAGGTATGAAAAGATTTGTAAACTGGCCACGTTGGCAAAGGCCTGTAATCCTAGCATTGAGAAGGCCAAGGTAGGAAGTTTGCAGGTTCAAGGTCAGCCCAACCTACGTAACAAGTTCAAGGCTGGCCTGAGCTATACAAGTCTCAAAACCACTGAATGAGGAAAGAACTACAGCCATCCTTAAGGTTCAGATTGTTTAGGAATGAATCATCACACTCCAGGGGTATAGGGAGAGTGTTCCTCAGTTGCAGAACCTGCAAGCCTTCCATGAATTCATGTTCCTTTCTGGAATAGTCTATACTCTATTCTTGGACTCCCCAACCAGGGACGGCTGTGCTGCTCTAACACCTTATGCGCACAAAACAACACAGACCGTGACCTCAGTTTTAAAGTGTCTGGAGACAGCTGACTATAGAATCCATAACTCTTTCCACTTCAAGGCATGCTGAGCTTAGGCTCCAAGAAATTGTAAATACAGGCCAGCAATGAAGCTCAGTGCTCGAGAGCTCGCATAGCATGAGCGAGGCCCTGGGTTCCATCTCCAGCACCGCCGGACTTTCCAAAGAACATTTATCCCAACCTCAGCCACAGAAACCCAGTCCCCAGGTGCTCCCCCACAACCATACTGCCTGCCACCCTTAGCAAGACGTGGTTCACAGTGGCACCTCAGCTGTCTCTGATGAACTTCATTTGCTTAAGGGGATCCAGGCTTTGTGTGTGTGTGTGTGTGTGTGTGTGTGTGTGTGTGTGTGTGTGTGCATGTACACATGTGTGGAAGCACATGTACTCTCTACGTGTAAAGGCTTGAGGTTAACATGGGAGTCTTCTGCTATCACTTCAACTTACATGTTAAAGCAGGGAGGGTCTCTCTCTACTGAACCTAGTACAGATTGCTATTTACGGTAGTCTGGCTACCCAGCTTGTTCCAGGGACTCTGACTCCTGAGCACTGGGATCACAGGTGGACTTCTACCTATGTCTGTCTCTTGCATGGGTTCTGGTTGATCCAAACTCCAGCCCTCATGTTGGCTCAGCAGTCATCTCTCCAGCCCCCAGAGACTATTTTTTTGTTGTTGTTGTTACAGAAAGCAGATTTAGTCAGGAACTTGCTTCAGGTTTCCAGGAAAATCCATCGCCTCCCAAGCCAGGTCCCAATAGACTTGGGAAGTCCTCATCAGGTTTCCATCACTGTCAACTAGATGACATTGTTCTCTGGATATGTTCCCGTCCATCCTAACACCCTGGCTTCTCCAGGGCTGCCTCCACCCAGGCTGCTCACGAAACCACCCAGAGGTGCTTCAAGCAAGACAACCAAGCTAGAATCAGAGCCTGAGCGCCAGGAGCCAGGGTCAAAACTTCATCTTCACACTGACGGTCAAAGTCAGAGCACATGCTTGATTCTGTCACAGTCTAACCTTGATGATCAGAATCTGTAACTGTTCATTTCAATATTCACCACTCACAAGGGGTTACTCCTCCCCTTGGCTTATTTAGATGTGGTAAGATGGCGTCACATCATTCATTTAACGGTTATAATAGAAACAAGGGTTAGGGGCTGGAGAGATGGCCCTCAGTTAAGAGCACATATTGCTCTTGCAGAGGACCAGAGTTCAGTTTCCAGCACCCAGAGCTGTTCACAAATGCCTGAAACTGCAGTTCCAGAGGATTCAACACCCTATTCTGGCCTCTGTGAACACCTTATACATAACCTTTCCACAGACACACAGACACACAGACACAGACACAGACACACACACACACACACACACACACACACACACACACACACGGAGACCACACACCACACACTATTACAAGTAAAAGTATTTTTAAAAAACTCCAGAAATAATGTGTATAGGAGTTTGGCATGGCAAGTACCAGGAATGATCCCGTGTGTGTGTGTGTATGTGTGTGTGTGTGTGTGTGCGTTTGCTTATTTAACAGAGGTTGAAACTAGGACCTCATGTATGCCAGGCAAATACTCCAGAGGCCCAGCCTTTTCTTTCTGAGACAGGGTCTCATTAAGTTGCCCAGGTTGGCCTTGACCTTGAGATCCTCTCACATCAGCCTCCTGAGTAGCTTCGAGTAGTGCCACCAGGCCTGGCTCAAACGAAAGTATTAAATGGCTCCTAAGTAACAGAGTCTTCTCCCTACCATCTTAGTTGACCACAGTATTTGGCCCTTGTCTAACCAGGTTTTAAACCACAGATTGAATTTTCAAAAGCCAAGCCAAGAGTCTATAAATCTGTGTGAGCAGCTATCGGAGCCGTGTCCCCTAAGGTCGGACAACCACTCCACCTGGTAGGTCAGCAGTCTCCAGCCTGCCCTGGGTCCTCACTGCTGACACCCCTGGCTGGCTGACTCTGACCTCGGCCTGACCGGTCTCTATTCTAAGTAAGAGTCTCCACACACCTCCTCACACACGAGGTCCACAGTGGCTGGACTCTACCGATCATGGGTGACCCGCCATAAACCTCGCTGTTTCTCTTTCCTCCCCACTCTTGTTCTGCCTGCGCCCTACGTCCTGGAGACTAGCATGGGCGCCTTACAAACATCACTTCTATTTCCCTAACCCCAAAGACAAGCATTATTTCCAGTTTCCATTTTCAGAATTAGAAGTCCTCCGGTTGGTGTGTGGTGTGCCCAAATCCCTGTGGTGACGGCATCAGTCACTTCACAAGGAAGCAAATCCACAAGCATCTGTCACAATGCTTGTGATAGGCATCATGGGAGCATGTCTGCACTAATAAGCACAAACACTGGTTGCCATGGAGTCACTTAAGAACAGAGTAACCTACTCTAAAAGGAGGCTTCATTAACTGCAAACAGCTAAACACAGAAGCTAACCTCAAATTTATATTAACAAAATGCACAAGAAAGTTATAAAAATATTTTATTGATGTTACAGGAAAAAAATCATAGATACTTAAACATTATTAAAAGTGCATATGTTAAAAAATGCTAACAACCCAATAACTTACATAGTGATAAAATCCAAAGTAGCAGGAAACAGTAAATGCTTCCGTTTGGTCCCCTCCCTAAAAAGCTATGACAAATATGAGCTATCCAGTGACTACTAAAGGTGACAACACAGTCCCTTCATACTTGCGTCCAGTCACTTACACAAGGGCAGCTAACCCTCAGCTTCTGGAAACTGTGGGCACACTGTGCTCCAGTAACGGACAACCACTGTCTCCGAATTCTGACAGATTAACACTCCTCAGTTCCGTCTAACACAAACTGCTGACAATCACTTGTTTGAGAACACCCAAGAGAAAGACTGTTTATTCAGATTTCAACAGCAGGTTTAGAAAGTCACGGTTGCCATGGAAACCACTCACTTCAGACACCAGTGCAGGCTAGGCTTCTCCTTCAGGTCAGTGGCACAAGCTGGATGCTTTGTTCACTTTGTTCACGTTCTTAAGTCTGGAAGAAAACAGCATTTACACACCAAGTGAAACACCTTAAGCTCATGAATTTCCATTTAAAGACCAAGCATATGTGACTGGAGAGATGGTGCAGTGGTTGAAAGCACTGGCTGTTCTTGCAGAAGACTGGGACTCAATTCCCAGCACCCACATGAAAGCTCACAACCTCTTTAACTCCACTCCTAAGGGATCCTATGCCTTCTTCTGGCCTCTGTGGGCACCAGATACACATGTGATGTACATACATGATGTCCATACATACACACAAGCAAACACTCATACACACAAATAGAAATATTTAAAAAAGAAAAGAGGACAATCTGCATGCCTGCCACCACCACACAGTTCTCACCGCTAACCAGACACCCAGGAACATGGAAGTCAAAAGCACCCAAACATCTGGAAACTCAACCAACCAGCCAGAGTCCAAGATCTCAGCCACTGTGTGTGTGTGTGTGTGTGTGTGTGTGTGTGTGTGTGTGTGTGTGTGTGTGTGTTTTGGGGGGGGTGAAATCAGGGTCAGCCAAAGCTGTGGTGACAGCCAGCAACTCCTGTCCAACTAGCAACAGCAGGATCGAGTGCATCTCTTCCTTCTGATCACATTCCCCCATGAGGACTGCAGGGCACACACTCCATCAGTTGGGAGTCCTGGTCCTAGTACCACCCATCACTCAGAAGATGACCTCCACTTCCCTGACTGCAATCCATCCTGTCAATTGACTTTCTCCAAATTCAGATGTGAGTGGAATGAAGGGAGGGACCATGTCTTTTTCACTCTAATCACAGCATGACCATTCTCAATACTGTACACTTATTTAATACATGCTATCAACACTCCCACGCAGGGAGGGGTGGGCGTTCACAGAGACACATAAATTCTCTAAATAGTATGAAAAGAACAGAATTTTTTAAAAGATTTATTTTTATGTGCATGAATGTTTTGCCTATATGTATGTAGGTGCATCACATGTGTGCCTGATGTCTGTGGGGGCCAAGGTGTCAGATCTCCTGGAATCAGAGTTACAGATGGTTGTGAGCCATAACATGGATGCTAGGAATTGAACCCAGGTCCTCTGGAAGAGCAACCAGTGATCTTCACCAGTGAGCTACCTCTCTAGCCCCTGAAAGGAATTTTTTTTTAAAAAGGGCTGATATACCCATCTATCCAACATCTACAGAAAATGGTAGAGTTTGTCTCAACTTGGGTAAGATCACCCATTATTCCCATACTACTTCTCTCTAAGAACCATCCAGCCAACAGTCATTCACACACTATAAAATGGCCTCATGTGAACTTATCCACATTAAGACGCACATGCTGTCTTTATGAATTCTTTGAATGGCAGGGTGCCGCCTCTAAAAACCAGGCACTTAGAACGACACCTTGTGAAGGTGGCCTCCGTCCTTGCAGCTGTGCTCAGTGGTGAATGCTTTGGTGCAGAGACAATAGGAAGTGATTCCCAGGCAGTCTGTGGGCGTACTCTCAGGAAGTGACTACAAGGCGTTTTCACAGTTCCCTGTTCCGGACAGCACTCCAGGGATCTTACCTGGAACTTATCCGAGGAGCGAGATGAACATCACGACCCCCATAAACTGAGTGAAGAGCAGCAAGGGGGTGAAGAATGACCACACATTCCACAGAGCCAGGTTGAAGCTGAAAAGAACCCAAAGCAAACAGCTGACAACAGCAACTGAGATGACACAAACATGTCCCACTCCAGAGTCTGGGGTTAAGGAGCTCCATTTGAGAACACCTATCCATGTACCATCTTCAGACACAGCACCACAACATGGTGCCTGTACCAACAGAAGCAGCACAGTTTCAAATAGTACCTGGACCTGGGATCCCACGGGCCATTGAGGGGGCGTGGCTGAGTAGATGTTAAGTCTCTCAGTTAGTGTTGTGGAGTATTTGTTGAACTATGCAAAGACCTGTTGCATTTGTGTAACTGTGTAAAGGTGTGTTTTTACCTTGGCTGCCTAAGGCACCTGACTGGTCTAATAAAAAGCTGAATGGCCAACAGTAAGGGAGGAGGCATAGGCAAGACTGGCGGGCAGGAAGAGTAAGTAGGAGGAGGAATTTACGGTCGGGGAAGAAAGGAAAGGAGACGACAGGCAGATGCCAGGAGCCAGCCAGACAGACAGACAGACACAGAGGAAACAGGAAAGGAGGGCATATAGAATGAAAGAAAGGTAAAAAGCCCTGAGCAAAACGTAGATGAATAGAAACAGGTTAAATTAAGTTAAAAGAGCTAGTGGGACAAGCCTCAGCTAAGACCGAAAATTCATAATTAATAATAAGTCTCCATATCTTTCTTTGGAAAGCTGGTCGGTAACCCAAAGAGAAACTCCAACTATAAACAGCACCCAACACAGGGCCCAAATTTCCACATAGGGCCTGAGAAAACTAGAAAAAAGAAAGAAAAAAAGGCTACGGCTCCTTTAGGAGGCACTGCTGTGCGGCAGGGTACCTGAGCAGCAGCCTTTAGGGTGCCTCTCTAACAGTTTCCCCAGAGTTCTGCTTTCAGAACAACTTCAAGGCTTCTAGCTGAGATGGTCCAGCCTCACAGATTATTCTAGCCAGGACTTCAGACAAGCCCTGCACTTTCCCATCACACAGAGACTGGACAACAAATGCTACAGCTAGTTTTCTTAGGACTTGACCATTATTTCAATTTTCTCAGGGTCCCTGGAGGACGCCGTCACCCACAGGCAACAGGAAGCAGTCTAGAGAACACAGTGCCCACATTCCCAAGAGGCGGGGTTTTGGTCATTCTGTGGTTTATGGATGTTTGTCATCATTTAGTGGGAATATAGGATAAAAAGATAACTATCAGCCGGGCGGTGGTGGCGCACGCCTTTAATCCCAGCACTTTAGGAGGCAGAGACAGGAGGATCTCTGTGAGTTCGAGGCCAGCCTGGTCTACAAAGCTACACAGAGAAACCATCGCGAAAAACCAAAAAAAAAAAAAAAAAAAAAAAAAAAGACAACTATCCTTCAAAACTATTCATCTCAAATATTTTACATTGGTATGGATTTTGCACACTGATAACAAATTTAAGGTTATTTTTGTTATATATATATGTTTCTACTCTTGTTTAAGGTATTGTACCTATGCAGCTCATTTAAAAATGTACTATAAAGTTCTAGTCCTTCAAAGCTATTATTACAACCTGCTTAGGATAATTTTAAAATGTAGGTTAGTAGTTAGTCAAGTTTTGTAGTCATGTTAGGTATGTTTTCAAGGTTAAACAGATAGATAGGTGGCCTTCAAATGCTTCAGAGACCTACAGAATATGGCACTTATAATGTATAATAACCTAAGGACCTTCATGACAGTGAGACATGTCTGCTCCTGGCAGCACCAATCTACTTCATAAAAGGATGATGGGAATTGAAGAATCTCCATATGGAGTTTGCTTTAAGTGTGGCAAAGCCAGTCACTTGGGCAAGAAACTGCCCTTGCCTCACTGCTAAGAGTATACTGTACAAACTGGACAAGCAGGACACAAAGGAAAAAGACTGCCGAACTTTGCTAAGACAAGAAGGGACAGTCCTTCAAAATTCCTGCTTCACAGAAAAGTCTGTTAGATATTCCAGGCTCGTAGGCAGAAGATGGATGCCCCTACGAGGCAGAGGAACCTTGGGTGACTGTCCAGGCAGTCAGCTGCTTCTGTCATCTCTATAGTTTTGGAAGTTGCTTGCTCTGCACTTCTGTTTACTCAGGTAACACTATATCCTTCTCGGGTCTCTGATAGAGTTGAAGATGAGACAGTTATAGTTATAGTTTTCCTTGTTACCTAATTCAGAAAAGAAACATACATAAGAGATGTAAAGTTTATATGGTTGAGAAACATAAAAGCTTAAATTGTTTATCTAAGAAAATGTTTTGAGGTCTAAAAAGATAATTTTGGGTTGGTAATACAAGTTAGGATAGAGCTGGTTGTGGTGGTGCACGCCGGTAGGATTTGCTAAAAAAAAACAAGTTAGGATAGAAAGCAAATTAGGCTCACAACTTCAGACTCACCAAGATGGGATAGATAATGGAGTATTTTCTCTGAATTTGCCAAATGCAAATGAAATAGATATTGTAAATGTAATTCTTACTTGATAACTGTTCTTACTGTATATACTCTTACCATGTTAAAGCTAAAACCTTTCTTTTTAGTTGGACAAAAAGGAGGAAATGCTGCCGAATATTTGTTTAACTATGCATTGCATAGTTATTGTACTGCATTTGTTTAATTATGTAAAGATGTGTTGCTGTTTTACCTTGCCTGATTAAGGCAACTGACTGATCTAATAAAAAGCTGAATGGCGAATAGCAAGGGAAGAGGTATAGGTGGGACTTGTGGGCAGGGAGAGTAAGTGTCTTTATTTGGGAAGTTGGATGGTGGCCCTAAGAAAATTTCAACTACAAGTTAGCATGTGGGATGGACCACAAACTCAAATGGCTGCACTCAAATGGCTTTATCATCTCAGGCATCATTATAAGAAAAAGGTGAAATGACTCTTAAAACAGAATAGAAAAGCAATGGTGTAGACGATGCTGTAAGTCTTCATTGTGGAAAAACAGTATTCTTGTCACCAAATGAAATAAAACATTTTCTAAAAGCAAGAGTTTCAGTAACTGAACTGACAGGAGGAGAAGCTACCAGGGGAAACCATAAAACAAATGAATAAGCTCTCCAGTCAGTTATGGGTTTTAATATACAATCCTGGATAAATATAGATGTCAAATAACCACAAGCCACGGGTCTAAAACTAATCTGACATTTCTTGGGATGCTCCCACTACAGGAGACAAAACAACCTCGCTGGTCCACCCTCACCACAGAAAGGGTAACACTGACCTCAAACTGGCAAGCAGCCCAACTACAGCTGAAACTGGGTCAAAGAAAGTGCATTTATGCAGAATATACACATACCTTTAGGACTTTTGTACAAAAAAAAAATCAGGATCTACTTTACATAAAGAAAAGCCAAAGAGCTGAAGCTTTGTTTTCTCTAAATGAGAGATATTTTTCTATAACTTAAAGGCTTTTCTTCAGTGAGCAAGTATTACTTTTTTTTCCTAGCCTCTCTTCTTCACTGAGCACCTGTGGACTTACAAAGGTAGGTTCACTTGGCACTGTGTGAACATGAAATTAGCCGGGTGGGCAACAGGGAATGGGCTGAGCAGTCCTGGCGTGTGCACACTGTGAAAGACGTGTAACCTTGAAAAGGCACAGCTACTCCTACACTGTGCCACTAGACACTCAGGGAAAAAGAGGACAGGTGTCCCTTCAGACCTGGGGATCATTAGCTCCAAGATCTTGCAGAGACACAAATCTCCAAATGCTGAAAGAATACTGAATCTGCAGATCATCTGTACCTTGGTGATCGTGACGGCACCACATACTGTGAACTGCTACACAATGCACCATTTCTATGTTGGTTAGAGAACAAGAGAGAGAAAAGGTCTGCACATGCTCAACACAGATGGCATTCACTTTGGGGGACAGTGGCTGGTTGAATCCATGAATATGGAACCCACAGATAAAGACAGAGACAGCTCAACCACTTGAGAAGAGTCTGATGCTATCTAATGACGCTGGAGGTATGTACACTTGGGTGATGCACTGACTTCACCCTTCTGGGTATATGCACACTCATGTAAGGCCAACAGAGAACAGGAGTGATCTTAATGGCATCCTTCAAAACAACACCAACTATGAACAGCCTGACTGTGTGGCAGCATAACAGATACACTAGGACTCGGCCACACAGTGGATGACAAATGGCAATGAACAAGTGCTGGGAGAAAACACCAAGTCAACAGCACACACTTCTCCTATGAGTTAAATGTTAAAGAATGGCGACTGTACAAATCACCTTCTCTAAGTTCAGAACACAGACAAACGAAACAGTGCTTATGGGATGCAAAAGTAGTATGTGCAGCGTTTGCATGGGCAGGAAGGTACAGCGAAGCAAGGGTCAGGAGTGATCACCAGGACGGAGGCTCCGCTCTTCCCTGACCAAAGTGAGATCTGCAGCAGCGCTCAATTCATGACTAATTCATTCAGCTGCACTTGGCGTTCCTTTTGTGTGTCTTAGCCATCACAATGAAAGGCACTTAATAAACAAAACACAGAGTGTGTCCAGAGGTCGCCAACTGTGTCTCAAATCACTAAGGCAGATTAAGAGAGAAAGAAATGAGGAGAGGAGACCCCAAAGGACAGAGTACCTGGGAACCCCTACCCTGTTGCTTAATTTAGGTTCTGGGTTACGTTCCTCATTACTGACCACAGGAGGACTGCTTTTCACTCACATTCAGCCTTTCAACAGCCACTCACCAAATCCCCGCTGCGATGAAAGTCGCGGTTGTGATGGGTACCAGCATGGGGTACTTGACATCGTACTCTTCAATCCCCCGGTACCACTCCAGATAGACTATGCAGTAAAAGGCGATGGACAGGCTGACAAACAGCAGGGCCCCGCCCAAGAGAAACCAGCTGTGGAGACAAAGAAGAAGAGAGAGCTGACGGCCCTGGGAGAAGCAGCAGAGACTTCCATGGCCTCCGTCTTTGGGTATGAGGTCATGTCTTCTGCCTCTAAGAGCACACTGTGCTGAGGCCAGGCCTACGGTTTCAACTTTCTCTCATCCCCAGAGCCCTGCCTCAGTGTTTGATGTCTACACTGTCTCTGCCACAGAAGGGCATGTGGTCCCAAACCCCACTTATCGCTGTGGTTCATCCAACACATAATCTGTGTGCAATCAGTTTTAACGGCCACTTCTAGGAAAGCCTAATAAAAAGAGACACACCTAAAGCCCTGAAAAGTCTACTTTCCCAGCACAGGCTCTCTAGGCAACACTCCCAGGTGTTCCCGACATCCCGCACACACGCCTACCCAGCAGCAGTGCAGCCTGGTAATCAGTCTGCTACAGCAGAAAATGAGCTGCTGGAATCAGAAATGCCCCCGCCTCCATGCCAGACCCATCCTGGACTCGTCCCAAGTTCTAATGAAAGAAAAAGCACTCGGTAACGTGGCATTTCAGGTACTCTCCTCTCTCCCAGCGGGTTCTAAACCAGCCAAGAGATGAGGTTTGCTGGCTGACCAAAATGTGTCAGTTTTGTTGTCACTGATGGAGCTGAGAGAAGAGCATGGCTTTGGATAGTGGACAGTAACAAAGCCTGGATTGACACTAAATCCCACACACAGACTTATTTCTAGGTTCCAGACAACAAGGAAAATCTCTACCCTGTTAGTGTTACCTCTGCAGAATGAAAGCACAGAAAGCCAGAGGAGTCTGAAGGAAGCCTGAAGGAAGCAGACGCCCAAGAGTGGTGCTGGGTTCCAGTTCTTCATCTACAACTCACTTAGGCAAGTCACAAGACCCACCAGGGAATGGTGAATAGGATGGAAGGATGGGGAGGGGACTGGTATTTAAAGAAATGCCTCCTCATAGAAGAGCAAGCGGTCCCTTCCCCAGGATTTAAATGAACTCCCTCAAGCTTCATACCCTTAACAGCTCGTTCCTTCTGTCTGCTTGGTTTCCTCCACAAGCAGTCTATGACCACAAGACTTCTTTGAGGACTGTATTTCCCATAATTCAGCAAGACTGAATTCCTGTCTCCATCTTTTATGGCCCTACTGTTAGGTCCAGTCACCGCTCTTGGCACTAAACAGAGCCCTCATGCGCCAGCTGTGACATCACCAACATCACCCCCTTTTCTGATATATCTGATGGCCTCCAAACTATTCACACAGGATCCACAATTGCTACATCACGGTCAACTCCTGGGATGACAGATAGGGCTCTCTGCCCCTGGGTATGAAGCGTTTTTAACACCAGGACTCTGACCAAAGACTCCTCCCACTGACCTTCAAGGCAACTCTGAGTCACACCCTCTAATCACCCCCTTCTTCACTACTCTGAAACACACCTTCCTCAGGCCACAGTCCTCACTCCTCTAGTTCTCAGGCCTTTTTTCTCCAGTCGTCTGGAGGCACAAGTGACAATTTTAAATTACATAGAGTCAGCTAACATTGTACTTGTGGGGGTTATGGGAAGTGGGGATACATGAGAGGACCATGAGATAGGAAGAAGACAATTAAGATGTTACATACGCTAAATCCCCAGAACTCACTGTAAGTGAAAAGCTGCACCCTTTGGCTAACATGTCCTAGTCTTCTCTATATCATCAGTAGTTGCCTCCAATATCATGTCTGACAGAGACTAACAATTAAATGGGTTTTGGGGTGTGTGTGTGTGTGTGTGTGTGTGTGTGTGTGTGTGTGTGTGTGTGTGTGTATGCCAGAGGTCAACAATGGGTGTCTTTCTCAGTCGCTCTCTACATTGTTTTTAAGACAGGGTCTCTCACCAGACTTGGAGTTCACTGATTCAGCTGGACTGAGTGACCAACAAGTCCAGGGATCTTCTCTTCACCTACCCAGAACTGGAATGACAGGCAGACACCAACAAACTGGCTTTTTTCTTTTTTTGAAATATAGGTTCCGGTGATCAAACTCAGGTTGACATGCTTGTAACAGCAAGCACTTCCAACTGAGCCATCTCTTAACTCTTCTGAGTATTCAACTGACAAACTGTTACATGCAAAACAAGAAGCAAAAAGGCTTTTTTGTTGTCTTTTATTCTGGCTGTCCAGGAACTCACTCTGTAGACCAGGCTAGCCTTGAACTCAGAGATCAAGCTGCCTCTGCCTCCCGAATGCTGGTATTTAAGGTGTACACCCTATGCCTGTCGAAACAAGATTTTCTTACCTATTAGTGTGGAAATTTTCTTTAAAGGTTTTAAAGAAATCAACGTAATAGGTTACAACGATGGATGCCAAAATCCAGAATCCAGAATGAATGTTAAGTCTTGGAAGAGGTTTCTCCTTTATCTCATCAGCTGTGGAGGTTTCTGCAAAATAGGGGAGATTTTTGAGTTTTGAACTTAACCGGTTTTTTAGGCCATATAAAGTCATCTCCTGGAACTTCCCAGTAACTAGAATCGCTCCCACTATCGCATCAGTTCCTTCAGCAAGACCATCAAAGTAAGTTTATATGTAGGGGCAGAGATGTAGCCTGGTGGTAGAATACATGTTTAACATGCATGAGGTCCTAAGTTCTATGTCAAGAACCAACCAAACAAACAACAGTAACACAGTAATGGTGGATTTACATTTGCTGAATTAGTTAATATGAGCTCACTAGAAAATATGCCCAATATATTAATTACTCCTTCTAAATGACCTTGGAATCACATTTACACCTTCATAACCTTTTGGATATCACAATACCACCCAGAGTATGGGAATTTATTTCACATTTCCTCTAGGAAAGTAATTAGTCATGTTAACCAAGAAAAATGTCAGATGTATGGAGATGAGAAGATTCAGTGGGTAAAGTGCTTGCAGCACAAACATGAGAACCTGAGTTCATCCCCAGCACCCACATAAAACTGAACATGGCAGTAGATGCCTGTCACCCCACTGCTGGGCCAGAGACAGGTAGATCCTGGGGCCAAGGGAGACTGGGGCTCAAAAAAAAAAAATGTGGAGACTGACAGAGGAAGATGCCCAGTGTCAATCTCTGGCCTCCAAAAGTGCTTGTACCAATAAGTGCAAGAGCATGCACTAAAAAAAAGAGGGAATGCTACATACAATAAAAATTATACCAAAATATTTTAGAACGGTATGCCAGAGCTCTAACCCCTGAACAAAGCATGGTCTGCTGCACAGATGATAGGCAATTCATTTCTCTCCCTGCAAATCAAAATGAGGGGATCCTGACATGCCCTCTCTGTATTGCCACATGAGGACCACTGGTCTCCAAGTGAGCTAGCTTCAGATCTGGATTCTGATAGTACTATCTATTCTGATAGAGGTTAGTACTAACACGAGTTCTTGAAGGTATTTTGAAAATGCATATATTGTGATGTCTTGGCCCAATGCTGCCAGTATTTTGAAAAGCTAATAGATAAGCAAAGGGTTTTTTTTTTTTACAACATCCAGGTCAAATATCTCTAAAATGAACGGTCTCTCATCCTTTGGAATTCTTCCTTACAAGCAAAAATACATCATGAGTTGTAGTTTGTACCCAAATGGTGGCATGCCATACATTGTTCTGCGCTTCCCTCTGAAAACCGCCCACAGGGATATATAAAAGCTTATCTGGCTAGGCATGGTGGCGCATGCCTGTAATCCCAGCATTCGGGAGGCAGAGGCAGACGGATCTCAGTGAGTTCGAGGCCAGCCTGGTCTACAAAGCAAGTCCCAGGACAGCCAGAGCTGTTACACAGAGAAACCCTGTCTCGAAAAACCAATCAATCAATAAAAAATAAAAATAAATAAATTTTATAAGCCTATCTGATGGTAGAGATACATCCGATCTAAACGTATTTAGCTAGCTTTCTGCTGACAGGCAGCTAGGCATCTCCTAGGCACTGCAATCCGTACCGTATTACAAGCAAAGCTGAAATGAAACACTCTGCGCACGTCTCTGTATACGTTCTTGGGTTAATTCTTCAGACTAAGAAACTACTGTTGGTTTTAGTGTTAAAGGGTGTTGCCAAACCCGTGTTAAGTCAGCTCGCCACAGAATGCGGAAGCGCAGCTCAGAGGAGGATGCAAGAGTTGCAAGACCTGTGGAGACCCTGGACACAGACTCGCAGCCCTACTTGGTAAGCCCTGGGACCCAGAGCCCGTGGAGCCTCACCTGGTCTGGCGTCGTCCTCACAGTCCAGCCCCGCTTCGGAAGGAAACAGGTAACGCCTCCGGAGCTGCTCCCGAGCCCACGGAGCGTCCATCTTGGCGCCCGCCAGTGCGACGGAAGTGACGGCACGCAGCACTTCCGGCGCCAGCTCCTTGGGCGGAACCTCCCGGCGTCCTGATTGGAACTGTATTCCCCTTGCGATTTTAGTTGACCCAGAACTTTAAAATACTGATCTCTGGTCTCAGGCGCAGCGAGTCCCGGGGTTATTCCGATCTATGGAAGCTCTGGACGACCAAGATTAGCCTTGCTTCTGGCTAAGCGGTCGGAGAGCATCCAGTTCCCAGTATCTAAACGCAGAAAATAACCTTTTGTTCAAGCCTGAACTTCCAAACATCAGTCTCCTGACTACTCCTGTTCTGTAGGATTTGCCTTCCTAGTCTAGGATGGGTTGTGGGCAGTTCCAGGAAGAGCAAAGAACCACCAGATCAGGGAGAAACGACCACTGAGGTTAAAATGAATTTGTCTCCCAGTTTACCAGAAGAAAGCAGGATGGTGACAGGGTTTCATTCAGCATTCTGAACCCCAAAGATAAGGTGGGTTTTGTTTTGTTTTTTTCTAACAAATGCCTTTAAGGTTGTTTTATAGAAGTCTAATGTTTCACGCGCTTCCTTGGAGTAGCGCGCACTAGTAACTCAGAGACAGATCCCCAAGTTCCATTTGCATAACGTGGAAGTATGAAAGAGCATGCATGCAGTCAGACTGTGACTCTTGAGGGTGCTCCCCACCCAGGCATGTGATGACACCTTTTGCCTCCAGAGTCTACATTTCCCCATATAAATAAACTTCAGCTTGTTCTGCTTTCTGGGAGTCAGTTTGGGAGGCAATCTTCCATGTTCCTGTTTGTTGCAAATACATTTCGCTGCCATCCCTACTTTGGTGTTCTGTTCCTTTTGACTCTCACCAAGAGGTGGACCCATTGAGTCTGGTGACACTGACAAACTGAGTGACTTTGGGCAAGAAAGGAACCTCTCTGAGACTGTTTGCTTTTCTGCCTAATAGACATTATATCCACCTCAATATCTGACTTGTTGGGCTTTAAGAGAAGATCACTGGTTTGTGGCTCCTGTGAGCCCTCTTCTCCCTGCTTGTGAAAAATGGCCCTATCTAGACTGTGGGAACCAGACTGCTTTTCCAGTCGATTGCCCCTACCACCCAGTGCCCATGATCTGCATTTCATTGGTTCGCGACTTTTTTCCTCTATCAATAATCCTATTGTTTATTCTCCTACTCTTTCCCTAGTGAGTCATGAGCTGAGAAATTTTGTGCTTAACCATTCAAGCGTTTATTGCACCTGCTGTTTACTAAGACTGTCATGCAGGAGCTAGGCTATGGAGACGGAGATGAGTAAGACTTGACCTTGTGCCGGGCGGTGGTGGCGCACGCCTTTAATCCAGCACTCGGGAGGCAAAGCTAGGCAGATCTCTGTAAGTTCGAGGTCAGCCTGGTCTACAGAGCAAAATCCAGACAGACACCGAAACTACACAGAGAAACCTGTCTTGAAAAAAAGAAAGGAAGGAAGGAAGGAAGGAAGGAAGGAAGGAAGGAAGGAAGGAAGGAAGGAAGAAAGAAAGAAAGAAAGAAAGAAAGAAAGAAAGAAAGAAAGAAAGAAAGAAAGAAAGAAAGAAAGAGAAAGAAAGGAAGAAAGAAAGAAAAATTGACCTTGCTTTAGAGGTACCCCTGGTTCAAAAGTGACCTGAGACATAGAAGATAGAACAGTGCTATTAGAAATGTCCAAAAGTGTTTCATAAATGCAGCCATCGTTTTCTGACCAGCTACTTGTAGTAAATGATGAAGACAGAGGTAGGAATGTAGTGGTGGAGACAGTGTTGGTATGGTGCCATTACAGAAATGCTATATATGGGGTTATGGGAGTATGGAAGAAAGGTGATGTGCTCTGCCAGGGTGTGTGAGGAAGCCAGAGAAGTGGGCTGACTATAGTGCTACCTCCCAGAAGGAAAATCTGCATTAGTCAGTGAGCACTCTTTAATATTGTCTCTATGCTGTGGGGATTGGTGAAGAAAGAGTAAGAGAAGAGTTGAGTTTCTCTGAATTTGTTTTTGTTGTGACTTTAGCCTTTCTGCATCCTTTGAGGCCAAGAGCAACAGCTGAGCAGATCATATGGCCTTCCTAAACAATAAGTCCTCTTTCCTGGTTTTCTTTTCTTTCCAGGATCCTAAAGAACTAGATTCAGCTCCTCTTTGCCCTCCCTTTCTTTTTCTTGTACAAGGTTAGAAGCCTTGTTAACAGAAAAGTCAGTTTGTCCCATCAACTACAGACTTCTGTTTGTCTCCTAAAAGAAGGGTCACCGCTGGGCCTCCCTTGAAACTGGATATTCCCAGGAGAATCACAGCCATTCTGAAGTTCCCATATGTGGTATATTTGGGTCAGGTCAAGTTTCCCCTCTGGTGTTTTCAGCGACTTTGTATTTAGATCTGAAATCCTTCCAGGATTTCCCCCCTGGTATTTTTTAACAGCACTGCTTTTACACCATATTGATGATACTTAAAAGCTGATTGGAACCAGTCCAGTATTTAATGACATCTTCTCTGCTGAGGCCCCTCTCCTAAGTTCTTCGGTGTATTCACTGTGACACTTTAATTATAGATATGCGATACAGGCTGCAACCAACAAAGAAATTTTCATTTTCAATGTTGATTATCTGTGGGAGAAAATGAATTTGACTCTGACCTCTGCCCATTAACCATCTAGTTAAGTCCACATGTTTATAGACCATTGAATCCTGCTCCATTTCTGTGGGTTCTTGGTCAAGTGATTTCAGTGTGATAATGTACCAGTCTATTCATCCATAAAGCTGCATACACTCAAATGGAGATAACGCCATTCCGAGAGCATTACTCCATGCCTGTTGTGGCCTGTGCATCCAAACAGTGGTGGCTGCTGTTCTCTACACCCAGATCTCACTTACCAGCCTGCAACATCATCTGACACTTGCCTTTGTGCTCTCTCTCTCCTCTCTCTCTCTCTCTCTCTCTCTCTCTCTCTCTCTCTCTCTCTCTCTCTCTCTCTCTCTCTCTCTCTCTGTGTGTGTGTGTGTGTGTACCTGTACCTGTACCTGTACCTGCTGATGTTTGAACCCATGGTTGTGCGTTTGCCAGGGAAGTGTTCTAAACACTGAACTATATTTCCAACCCTGATCCACTTGCTCATTTCTTCATCAAGTTCCTTGTCTTTGAACTCTAGATCCTCACTGTTCGTGTCATCCTTCCAAGAATTATGAAGCTTGATTTTTCATTCCTCACTTAACAAATTCTCCTCAGTTAGGCTGGAGTAGAAGTAGTCATGTCCTCATTGTCTGGTAAATATTGAGCACACATCAGGGACTCCATCACCTGCTTTCAGTTTGGACCTAATAACAGACAACTCCCCCACCTTTCTTCCTCTCTGCTGTGGTCCTACTCAGTTTTCAAGAGGCTTGCCCTGTCTCAGAGGAGCATGACCAAGACCCAACCTCTCGGTCCTGGGAATTGATGCTGAGCTATTGAGAAGATCTTCTCTGGTACTTTGGTCACCTGTGAGGTCAGTGTGAACTGGAAACATGGAGGAGCCCATCTAGGAAAGGAGCCCTGAAAGGCTAACTGAGAGCATTATTCCCACTCGTGGATCATCCTGAGTCCTAGTTATCCCAGATAATAATATGAACCCCAGAAGACTGTGGAGATGGTTCAGTGGTTAAGAGTACTTGCTGTTCTTGCCAGAGACCCAAGTTCCATTCCCAGCACCCACATCAGGCAGCTCACTACCAACCACCTATAACTCTTAACAACTGGATGCCTCCAAAGGCACCAGCACACATGTGAACAACACCACACACACACACACACACACACACACACACACAGAGAGAGAGAGAGAGAGAGAGAGAGAAAACTAATCTCAGTATGAGCTCTGGAGCAGGTGGCCTCGCTGGCCATCATTACTGGCTGTGGTAGTTTGAGTAAGAATGGCCCTGTGGAGTTGTATATTTGAATGCTTAGTCACCAGGGAGTGGCACTATTTGAGAAGGATTGGAAGGATTAGGGGGTGTGGCTTTATTGGAGTAGGTGTGACTGTTATTATCCATTGCTGAGAGTTTATACATTTTCTCTTAAATTCCCCACCACACACATTTTAATTCTATGAGTGCATGTGTTTGTATGTTGGTGGGTGCACATCCATGTGCAAGTGCTTATGGAGGGCAGAGGGAAACCTCATGTATCATCCTTAGGAAGGCTGGCCACTTCTTTGAGACAGGGTCTGTCATTGGCTTGCAACTCACCAAGTAAGCTAGGCTAGTTGGCCAGTGAATCCCAGAGATCACATTGTCTCCATTTCCCTGGTGCTGGGCTTACAGCCATTTAACCACTATCCCTGGTTATTTCCCATGAATTCTGGTGATCAAACTCAGCTCCTCACACTTGAGAGACAAGCACTCCACCAACTGAGCCAGCTCCTGCCACATGCTGTTTTGAGTGGTGGTGTAATTTGGATAAAAAGTGTTCCCCCTACAGGCTCATTAGTCTAGACACTGGGTTGCTGGGGAGGTTGTGCAGCCATGCTGAGGAGAGGTGTAACTAATGGTGTCACTGGGAGGCAGAACCTTTGAGGATTGTGGCCCTGCCCTACTTCAGGTCTGGTCCCATTCCCTGCTTCCTTCTGCTGCCCTGATGTACGGAACCCTGCTGGGACCTTCCCCAGGCTTTCCCTGCAAGGATGGACTGCAATCACCAGCCCAAAAATAGCCTTCTCTTAAGTTTCTATTAGCCATTCTGCCCAGCAAGGGGAAGAATAACTAACACAAGTGATTTCCTGTTCTTACAACCCTGTGGCCAGACTGGTGAAGCCCTCTTCTTTCTCTGTGCCCTGTAGATGGGCAAGCAGGTTGTGAGAACCTCCAGGAAAGCTGATACATGCACAGCTCTGAGTGAATGCCTATCACCTGGGAAGTGCCCAATAAGTGTTAATATATATCATTTCAAAGCCTTTCATTCTAAGAAGAAAGCATGGTGAAAAATAATGCCCTCACTCATAAATAAAATAATGAAGGGGCCTGGAGAGATGGCTCAGCAGTTAAGAG